CTCTATCCATTAAGCCATCACAGCTGGGCATAAATGGTATTGTGTTTTTAAATTTGGTTTCTGCATGTTGATCATTATTATATACAAATACAATTGCTTTTTTTGTGTTGATCTTATATCTTGATATCTTGTTTAAATCACTTATTAGTTCCAGTTTATTTGTGGATTTCTTAGGATTTGTATTTACATAGCACATGTCAACTGCAAATAGGAATAATTTTATTTCTTCTCTTCCTATCTATATCCCTTTTTTTGTTTGTTTTTTTGTTAATCCTCACCTGAGGATATTGTTCCATTGATATTCAGAGAGAGTAGAAGAGAGAGAGAGAGAGAGAGAGAGAGAGAGAGAGAGAGAGAGAGAGAGAGAGAAAGAGAGAAATGTCAATGTGAAAGAGACACATCAATTGGTTGCCTCCTGAATGCACCCTGACCAGGTCTGGGGATCAAGCCTGCAACTGAGGTATATGCCCTTGCTCAGAACCAAACCCATGACCCTTCACTCTGCAGGCCGATGCCCAATCCACTGAGCTAAACTGGCCAGGACCTATCTGTATTTCTTTTGTTTATTTTTCTTGACTTATTACAGTAGCTATGTCTTCCAGTACTCTTTTGAATAAGAGTGGTGAAGGTTGACATCCTTGTCGCATTCTTCATATTAGGGGGAAAGCATTCAGTTTTTCATCATGAGGTGTGTTAGCTGTAGAATTTCTGTAGATGTACCTTATCAATTTGAGATAAGTCCCTCTACTCCTAACTTGCTGCGAGTTGTTACCATGAATGGGTGTTAAATTTTGACCAGTGTTTCTGTTTGATTTAATATGATCATATGAGTTTTCTCCTTTAGCCTGTTGTTTTGGTATATTACATTGATTGATTTTTAAATGTTTGACCACTCTTGCATTCCTAGAAAAATATCTTAATTGTTTATGGTGCATATCATTCTTTCTATACATTTTAAAATTTGAATTACTGATATTTTGTTGAATTTTTTTGAGTTCATGAGAAATATTTGGTCTGGAGGGCTTGGGGTATGTTTTGTGATTTTTGTTTGTTTTGTTCCTTTGTACCATGTTGTATGGTTTAGACATGATAATACTGGCTTAATAAAATTAGTTTGGGAAGTGTTACTTCTATTTTCTAAGAGATAATGCATAGAATAGGTGGTAATTCTTTAAATATTTTCTAGAATTCTTCAGTTAAAACTATCTGACCTTAGAGAACTATTTTTGCTAAAATAATGGACTATTCAGATAATCTATTTCATCTTGATTGAGTTTTAATGCATTGTGGTTTTTGAAGCATTGGTCCATTCTAACTTGTCAAATGTAGTTATATTTTTTATTGATTTTTTTTTAAGAGAGGGAGGAGAAAGAGAAAAATGAATATGAGAGCAGAACATTGATTTGCCACCTCCTGCACATCCCCTATCTGGGATCAAGCCCACAAACCAGGCATGTGTCTTGACCGGGAATCGAACCAACAACTGCAACCTTTTGGTACAGTTTGGATGATGCCCAACCAATAGAGCACAATGGTCAGGGCTAAATTTTTCAAATTTATAAGAGTAAAGTTGTTCATAATCACTTCCTTGTTATTCTTTTCTTTAATTTAAAAAAAAAAAATATATATATATATATATATATATATATCGATTTCAGAGGAAAGGAAGAGAGAGAAATAAAAACATTAAGAATGAGAGAGAAGTGTTGATCAGCTGTCTCCTCCATGCCCCTCACTGAGGATAGAGCCTGACCAGGAATCGAAGCGTGACTTTCTGGTGCGATTCCTGGTCAGGGCACATACTTTAAGCCACACTGGCCAGGCCCTAGTTATTCTTTTAATGACTGCTGGATAAACCTTATTTCATTCCTTTTATTGATGATTCATTCTTTATCTTTATTTTTGTCAGTCTTGCTAGCATTGTATCAATTTTATTTTTTCCAGAGAACCAGATTTTTGTTTCATTGATTTTTCTCTATTTTCAATGTCATTGACTTCTGATTTTATGATTATTTCTTTCCTTTTGCTTGCTTTGAGTTTATTTTGCTCTTTTTCTCATACCTCAAGGGAGGGACTTAAATTATCGAGATCTTTCTCTGCTACAATGTAAATATTTACTTCTATAAATGTCCCTCTCTATACTGCTTTAGCTTAATTCTACATATTTTAGTATATTCTATTTTCATTTTCATTCTGTTGTGTTTTTTTTTAATTTCCTTTGAGACTTTGTCTTTGACGCATATACTTAAATTCTGTTGTTTAATTTTTATGTGTTTGAGAAGTCCAATTGATTCCTAGTTTCAATCTATTATAATTGGAGAACACGCTTTATTGTTTCAACTCTGGTAGGATTCTTTAGGTTTTAGGCACATGTGGTCTATCTTGGTGAATGTTCTGTGTTTATGAAATGTATATTCTCTTGCTTTTAGGTGGCATGTAGTATGTATACCAATTAAATACTGTTGATTGTATTCAGATTTTTTGTATTTTTGTTGATTTTCTTTCTAATAGTTTTGTTAGTTGATGAGAGGGGCTGTGAAGTCCGCAACTATAATTGTGTTTGTCTATTTCTCCTTGTAGCTCTATATCATTTTTTCTTGATGTTTTGGAAGGTCTTGTTGGTACCTATACATTTAGGACCTTTGTGTTTAGAGAATCAATCTTTCTATCATCATGTAATACCCCTCTTTATCTCTAGTAATGTTCTTTGCTCTCAAGTAACTTTACTTGATATTAATATAGTCACTTTTAAAATGTTTAATACATTTTTATTGATTTTAGAGAGAGAGAAACATTGATGAAAGAGAAACATCAATCAGCTGCTTTCTGCATGTCCCTTACTGGGGATTGAGCCTGCAACCAAGGCATGTGCCCTGACTGGGAATTGAACCATGACATCCTGTCTCATGGGCCAGTACTCAACCACTGAGCCACACCAGCTGGACGCCACTCTTTTTAAAAATTAATGGTTGCAGTCCTTTTACTTTCAGTCTATTTATGTCATTGAATTTGCAGCGAATTTCTTATAAACAGCATGTAGTTGGGGCCATGTTTGTCCACTCTGCCAATCTTTTATTTTTTAATTGGTATATTAGGCCATTTACATTTGACAATTATCAATACACTAGAGGCCTGGTGCATGAAAAATCATGCATTGGAGGTGGAGCAGGCGGTGTCCCTTAGCCTGGTCTGCCCCCTTTCACAGTCTGGGAGCCCTTAAGGGCAGGAGGCAATCCGGTGATCGGGGGAAGGCGACACCCGATTACACCTCTGCTGCTGCCATGCTGGCAGTGCAAGCCTCAGGCAGCCCTGGGCAGCTTGCCTGTGCCTCATGCCAGCCCTGAGCAGCTAGAGTACTGGGGAGACTGGGGGTCTCTGGAGGCAGGTATGCGAAACAGCTGGGCCCACCTGGGAGTGGGTCCGGCCTTGCCACACCTGCCACCCCAGCGGGGATGAGGGGACTGAGCGCTGCCATCTTGTGGCTGTGGGCACCGCCATCTTTGAGGATGTGGCAATTAGCACATTCCCTCCTTATTGGCTATGGGCACTGCTATCTTTGTGATGGTGTGAGGGTCAATTAGCATATTCCCTCTTTATTGATAGGATTAGAGCTTAACTGTACCATTTTATTATGCTTTCTATTTGTTTCCTCTGGTGTTGTTCCTCTTTCTTTTTCTTTGCCTTCCTGTGCATTGCTTGAAGAACTTTTTAGGATTCTATCTTGACTTAGTTTTAGTACATTTGAGTGTATTTTTATAGTTTTCATGATGGTTGCACTGGCTATTATAATATACATGTGTGACTGATCATAGTCTATTGATATCAACATTTACCACTTCAAGTGACTTCACTTTCATTTAGGTCCCTTTACATTCTTGACTTTTAATTATCAATGTCTTGAATATCAGATGGCATTTTAACTTTTGTTTCAATCATCAAGTAAATTTATAAAACTTAAAAGTTGAAGCATAATTTATAGTATACAGTTGACCCTTGAACAACTCAAGTTTGAACTCTGTAGATCCACTTACATACAGACTTTTTCAGTAAATATGTACAGTAATATAAATACACTTTCCTTCCTTATGATTTTAATAACATTTTTCTAGCTGATTTTATAATAAGAATATAGTATATAATACATATAACATACAAAATATGTGTTAGTTGACTATTCATGTTATTAGTAAGATGTCCAGTAGGCTATTAGTTAAGTTTCGGGGAAGTTAAAAGTTATATGCAGGTTTTCAACTGTCCAGGGAGTCAGCTTTTACAGAAATAAGAATGTTAAGGACTCCTATTTTGTTCAAGGATTTAACTGTATACCAGAATTTCTGGTGTTTCTGTTGTTTGTTCTTCCTTCTTGATGTACCAAGATTCCTTATTATTTCCTTTCTACAATACTTGAAGAATTTCTTTTGGCTAGTCCTAAAGGTATTTCTACTAGCAACAAATTCTTCTAGTTTTCATTTGTCTGAGAATGTAATTTCCCCTTCATTCCTGAAAGATAGTTTCACCAGATATAGATTTCATACTTAATGATTCTTTTCTTTCAGCACTTAAAAAAAATATTACTTCCTTCTGGCCTATATGATTTCAGATGCAAAATCTTCTGTTAGTCTACTCTAATTGGGTATATATATGTAATGCATTGGTTTCTATGGCTACTTTCAAGATTTTTCTTTGTCTTTAGTTTTTGGAACTTCAACTATAGTGCATCTTGGAGTGGATTTTTTTTTTTTTTTTTTTTTTTTTTTTTTTTTTAGTTTATTCTGTTAAGGCTCACTCAGCTTCTTGAATCTGTTGTGTGCATTTTATCAAATTTGGGGAATTTTTAGCAATTATTTCTTCAAATACTCTTTCAGCTCCACACTTTCTCCTTTCCTTCTGGGATTTTAATTATATGAATGTTGGATCTTTTGTTACTGTCCCACAGATCCCTGAGACTTAATTCATGTTTTGGGGGTTTTTTTTAGTCTGTTTTCTCTTTTTTTGCTCAGATTGGATTTATTCTACTGAATTCTTCGAGTTCAGTGATTCTGTCCTCTGTCATCTCCACTCTACTGTTAAGGCCATCTATTAAGGTTTTTAATTTTTTTTTCTGTTAAATTACTTTTTAAGTTGAAAATACAGTAGATCCTCAGGTTACTTCAGAGATCCGTTCCTAGGCGCGATATAATGTGATTTTCGCCGTAAGAACCCACCTATATAAGCACCTACGTCACTCACATGGAGCACATACACAGCAGTAATGAAGTGAAACAGTAAAACAAATGTAAAAGAAAGATAATAATTCCTGACCTTTACTTATGGTAAATAAATAATAAACATAAAGCACATACAAAAGTACATATGTTGAAATGACAGAACTTTTTTTTTTTTTTTTAAATAAATGGGAGATGGCGAAATAACCACGAAACGACATACATTGAGTCTGATGTAACCTGAGGACCGCCTGTATTTATTAACGCTGATAGTTTAGGTGTCTAATTCATCTCTAATATACTGAGCTGCTAATACAACACAATAGAGAATAGCTTAATGTCTCTAACTTCTTGATGTCTAAAACATGGTTTAATAAATCAGAAAAACTCAAAGGTGAGAAATTCCATCCCTATAGAAATGTCTTTTCTGCTTAAAGAAATACTAGCAATAGCATGCATGTGAACTAGCCTCCTCAGCTGTGTAATTCAAACATTTTCATTTGACTTATAGGCAAAATGCATAGGTTACCACAGCTCTTAAAACAACCCAAATGGCACCAGCTAATTTCTTGTATTAAAGAGTATACCAATGATAATGAAATAAATATCACTATTATATCCCTTTTAATTTTTGATAGCTTTATTTTTTCTGTTATATATGTATATTTTGGTATAATACCAGTACCTTCCATAAGCTTCTAAAAACAGATCCCAAACTCTATCCAACTTTGCTTTAAGCTAATAAAATTCTCCCCTTGTGCCAAGAAGATGTTAAATTTTATGGTGTCTGTTAGCTGGAAAAGGCAGCATCTAATCCTTAACACTCTTAGTTCTGTAAAAGCAATTATTTTATTTTGATTACTTTTCCATAAGTCTGGAGAGACTCTAATCATCCCAAGGAAAGCTTTCCTTTTAAAACTTTCTACTGGTTAAGATATTTCTGCAAATCATTAATTAGCATTTAGCCTAAGTTACAACCCCAAACGCTTCTCGACCTCTACAGAACGTATTCTATAAGGCTCCATATCAGACTGCTGAGGGAGAAGTATGACTAGTTGCTTTTATTCTAACAGAAAGTAAGTCAAAGATCAAAAAAGTTAGCTTAAATGCATGGATAATAGAAGGTATTTACTTGATGCTACCTTTGTTCTTTAGAACTCCAGTGGTAAACTTACTGACTTCCTGAGCTTCTACACACTCCCCTCCACAGTCATGCACCACCCTGCTCATAAGAGCCTCAAGGCTGCCTACTCCTTCTACAACATTCACACAGAGACGCCCCTGTTAGACCTCATGAATGATGCGCTCATTATAGCTAAATTGGTAAGCAATTCATTCCTTTTTATCCTGTGTTTTTCCAAATATGTGTGTCAAAGTACATAAAGCATCTTACTGTATTTTCTTTCACAAAGGAGGAATTAATTTGAGTCTTTATTTATTACTTTGATCATTAGTCATAGAAAGAATTTTGATAAGTTTCTTGTAAAACCTCAGTGGCTATTTTCATCAATAATTCTATTGCTACTTAACCAAAAAGTCATTTTGTATAAAGTAGATACTTTAAACATTTACATAAGAGTACATAAAACCCATAAGAAATATTAAATTAATACATGATCCCATGATAAAATGAAATACAAGTTTGCTTTGTAGTGAATAGTTAGCATCAATCAGTTTTTTTATTTAAATAAATGGTCTCTGAATTTTAAAATTAAAGGGACTTTATTTTTAAAGGGGATTATTGTTAAAATTAAAGGACTTATTATTTTCAATATATTTTATTGATTTTTTTTTTTTACCAGAGAGGGAGAGGGATAGAGAGTTAGAATCATCGATCAGCTGCCTCTAGCACACCCCTCCCCCCCAATGGAGATGTGCCCACAACCGGGGTATATGCCCTTGACTGGAATCAAATCTGGAACCCTTAGTCTGCAGACTGACACTCTATCCACTGACCCAAACCAGTTAGGGCAAAATTAAAGGACTTTAAAATGAAAGGAATTAAATTCAAAATATGCCTTATATTATATATACATATTTTTATTTATTCAGTGTCATAGTTAGGACAATTTAAATTATTGCTGCAATTTAAATTAGACCAGTTCTGGAGATGGAGCCATCTAGGTGACTGTTCCTTCTAAAACAGGAACAAATATTTTCTGAACTTTCAATAGATTTTTTTATGTCACTGTTAGCCGGTACACTGTTTTTAATTCAGCATTGCTGGATAGCTGACTTCATCAGATTCACTGCTAGTTATGTAAGGTAGATTCACTGCTAGTTATATATAACTCAATTCTTAACCTATATTATATATATTACAGACATTGAATCTTATTATAAGTGCATATTCAGGTTATTATAGGAATTCAATGTTATGCTGAAATAATACAGAAAACACTCTAGTCTTTTGAAATTTTCAATCCTTTTTACATTGGCAGAAAGGATTTGATGTATTCAATGCACTAGATTTGATGGAAAATAAGACATTCTTGGAAAAACTCAAGTTTGGAATAGGAGATGGTAACTTACAGTATTACTTGTACAATTGGAGGTGTCCAGGAACAGATTCTGAAAAGGTAAGAAAAGTTGATATATGCTTTATAAACTTAATATATTTATCTAGGAAATTCCATACTTTCCTTAGAATTATTAATTTTTTTAGTAGCTTTAAAAGAATACAGTTCTATTGTACTACAGTATAAATTGAGGCCCAATGCACGAAATTCGTGCAAGAGTAGGCCTCCCTTTCCCTGGCTGCTGGCACCGGCTTCCCTCTCACCCTTGGGACCCAGGCTTCCCTCTGGCCACCGGCAGGCACCCGAGACCCGGACTTCCCTCACAGTCCCGGCTATATCTGGAAGATTGTCCAGAAGGACGTTTGGTCTGATTAGCATATTATGCTTTTATTATTATAGATTATTATAGATTTCTCTTTTGCTTACCTGTTCTTACTATTCCATTTCTTCCCTTCCTTTAGGTTGGACTTGTATTACAATAGATGGATGTTTCCTTTCCTAGAACTCTGATATCATCCATCATTTGTTAATATTCTATTTAATGATTCCTGGAACTGTCAATCCAAAGAATAAAAGCACAACCTAAGTGAAATCGATGCAGTCAGTAATAATTGGAAAAGATGAAAAACATTCGTATGTGACCAATACTACATATGTCTAGCTAGAATGTTAACATTCTTCCTTTTTTTCACTGTTTACCCATTTGAAAGAGGGATGAAAGGGTACAAAGAGCACATTCCTCTAGTTTTCAAACTTTTGACCGTCTCTTAAAGGTGTTTTTCCATTCTCTAGAAAGGGACTTTTATGGACAGAACTGAAGTCAGAGTGGGTAAGAAAACCTTTGCTAATGTGTGGAGATAAACTGCTGCATTTCTGTTTATCAAGTGATGGTCTTTTTGTCCATGTAACAGAATAAAGAATCCAATTGGGAAATTTTTCCTCCTATCACCTTCCATGCTATCACTGGAGACATTTCTGAAATCGCACTTCCACAACTCAATGATGAGTGGTGGGTGTTTGTGTATAGAGCAAGATAAAAATGTACTGGTGAATAGTACAATTATTTCTCCAGAAGCAAAGTTGCCAAATCAATAAACACATATTTGTACTTTAATATTCAACAGGTTGGTGGATGGGTTCAAAAGCAAAGTTTTGTGCAAACATGAAATGTGCTCTCTGTAATATGCACCCATGACTAACTAGATTTTGCTGCTGCTGCACAAACTCGTTTCTTTTCAGGAACAGCAAGGATATGTGAGGAAAAGAAAATATAAGTGCTAAAGTCAAAGGAACTGCCCAGTGGAATTTATTAATGCTATCAGGATACTGATATATAGTTTGAATGTTTTATTACTTATGCAAAATTGCACAAATTCCTTAATGCTGACTTTAATTTATCATGAAAGCTGTCATGCTAATAGAAAATGTCTTATTTGTAAATAAGTATTCATACTTTTGTTACTGATGGTGTTTTTAACTAGAATTTTAAAAAACAAGTTTCACAGTGTATTATATATATATATTGCCAATAGTCCAAGGAGAAAAAAGATGCTAAATGAGGCCGTATAAACTGGCCTTGACTCATTCCACGAAGTAGTTACTTTTTTCTGCCTTCCCTCTTCCAGTGCCTAGGCTGTTCTGTCCAGAAAATTTAATTATTTTCAACAATATGATGGGTTTTTTTTCTCCATGATATAAGTAGTCAAATGAAACCAGTCTTATACCAGGCAGGGGCTAGCAAGTATGGCCCATCACCCTAATCCAGCCCATCATATGTTTTTGTACACCCTAAGCTAAGGATGGTATTTACATTTTTGAGTGGTTAGAGGAAAATAGTAACATTTTAGACATGAAAATTGTATGAATTTCAAATTTCAGCATCCATAACATTTATTAGAACACAGCCAACCCCATTCACTTATATACTGCCTGTGGCTGCTTCATGCTAGAAAAGACAGACTTGATTTGTTTCAATAGAGATTGTATGAACCAAAAGCCTAACATACCGTATATGCTATCTGGCCCTGAAAGAAAAATTGTTGATCCTGATTTACATTAAGGAGCTGGAAGCTACTTTCTGCAGCTTGCCATTAACCAACAGGCCAACCCAGGGCTTGTGGTATCTTTGAGACTACCAGTAGAGGGCGCGCATGGGCACCTCAGTAGAGTGTACTTAGATAACTCTGTTACTTTCTAGAAGACAGAGGGAAGAGTTCTTAAGATGATTCAACCCAATGGTATTACTATTCTTCCTTAAGAGATGAAAACTTCAAGAAGCAAAACTGAACCAATTCACTGAAACTTTTTTTGAGATACCAGAATTAAATAAATGAGATTTTAACTTAATCTGAAGCCAAGGCACAGTTGGGAATTATGTTCCATTTATTTTTATAGCAAAGTCATACAAAGAGAAAATTCTGCATTTCAAATAATTGCAGAATTGCCAGTCGAAAATTTTGTCACGGGCTAAAATTTCAATTTTATAGAAATCTTTTTTCTCATTTAAAAATAGCACATTTGCCTCTATAATTTAACCCTATGCACTCCGCTGTCCCCTCTCAGGGTACATCAGAATTCTAGCATATCACTCGGATGTCCCCTCTCAGGGGACATTGCAGTTTATTAGTGATTACGGGGAATTGAGTTAATTCAACGCACGTTTCCGCCGTTAGCGTCGAGTATCTGGTAGCCAATGTCCAGAATGGTTCGGAGTGCAAAGAGTTAAGATTATCAATGAATATTTAAAAATAATCAGTAAAACTACTGTGTTTAAGTAGCTATTAGAACTAAATTTCAGTGTAGTGTAGTATTTTACATATTCAAGAGACCTACATTTGTCCTGCATTCTTTGTCAATAATAAAAACACTCAATTTCTTAAGGGTTTTTTTTTTTTTTTTTTTTTTTTGCCATGATAGTATTCAGTAAAATTTAAATGAGTGGAGAAGACATAATTCATGCATCAAACCGAATTAAAGCTGAAAATAAACTCTGGCCACTCTTCCCCTTAAATTAGAAAAAGTTACTTTTCCAAACACACTGAAGGTAGCAGACACTGTCATAACCATAGAGTACCGATTATGCTCCATTTCCTAACATGAAGGATGCCATCATTGTACAGACCTGCCTCTGAGAATCCAAGCTCCATTTTTTTATTTTCTTCCTGCCTCATTTCACCTAATTACCATCACTTTTTATACATTTTTAAATTTCAAGGAAATGTTAACCATGTAAAGGGGTGAATTCTAGTCAAAAGACCTTATCTGGCTTTTCCTATAGGTGTCAAGCCTTCTCCCAAGCCAATGCTTAGACCTACCCAAAGAAAGTAAAATAGAAGGAAATAAAAACCTGATGTAGTGTTTCTGAAGACAGTTGTATTGCTTAGCATTTAGTATCTTTCCTTTAAAACTGATGGTGTATCTGCAATCCAGTTTCATCTACTCTACTAATTTGAACCATGTTTACTGTGGTACAATTTCCAAGTTTGAAAGAAAGATGTTAAGTGCTGTAGGATACAGATGTTTTTGCTCACAAGCATTGTACCAACTTTAAAAAAGTGAATCTATACAAGCATGGACATTAGTGTCAATAAACTTTTGATATGCATACTTCTGAATATTTCCTGCATTTAGTGTTTTTTAAGCTTCAGCATATATGTGCTATCTAAAAAGTCTTACACATTTGAAAGGAACATTTACCAAACAAACTTCCACAAATCTATGTAAAAGTAATTCAGTTTATTAGCTTCAAGGTTCCTTTTACAAGGTGTCATTTTCCAATTGTATGAAGTGTTAAGTTTATACATGATTACTTCGAAGTAATTTTTTTACTTTTGGGTGGTTTCCTTTTTTTATTAGGGTTTGGAATCAGTTTCTTTATTTTAAGGGGTTGTAGCACTGCAGCCTGCTGACCTTCAGTGAACTTTCTCTTATGTTTAGAGAGGTCTTCAAAGGAAGTGTCCCAAATCTCTTTGTCTTGGCTTTCCAAAGATTCGGACTCTGAATTTTCCCTGGAGTCTTCAAGTCTGTCTTGGAGCCATGGTACATTTAAAGTGGGTACTCTGGGGATTATAGCTTTCACTTCATTGACAAAGTCAGTGGTGTTCTTTTTGAATCCCAAAGCCAGGACACATTTTAAGCCGATGACAGGCGCAATTCTCTCACTGAGACGGGGAACCTGACAAGCAGGAACCGTTCTGCTTAAACTTAACTGAATCAGGTGTGAGGTGATGATCGCAGGCTTGACTGACTTACACACTAGAACCAAAAGCAGTTCGTTCCTTTCCAGAGCCCTGGTGACTTCATTAACGCCAATGGCAAGCTGCTTCCTCACATGGACAGAAGTCCACCCTGATACTTGTTCGTTATCTTCTGTTTTTTTCTCCTTCAGATCCTCACTCATATGAACATCTATGCTACATTTGTCTCTGCCTTTTTTAAAAAACTGCTTTTTACTTCTTTTCTTATTCTCAATTTTCTCAAGTCCAATTGATTTAAATCTGTCTTCAAGTGTCTGTAAGATGAAGTGCAAATCCTCTCGATCCAGAGCACTCCAGCAGATAGTATACGGGTTGTTCAATGATGTCTTCACAGTTAAAGGTCTTGTCTTCCGAACCGAGCCCCTCGCTGGTGCCTGAGGAGCTGCAGCCATTATAAAAATCTTTCACTGAGAAGCAAAACAACAAAGGAAAACTGTTAACTAGCAGTGCAGGTCTTAAGAATATCCTGGTTATACTTGTTCTGATTCTTTACAGGCTACAGCAGGCCTAATCATAGAGGACCAATTATGTGACCATACACTTGACCTCTCTTTTAAGATTCAGTAATTTATTTTCCCCATTTTTTCCCATGACTTTGTTTTTATTCATATGTAGGCCATATATGAATGTTTTGCATTATTGCAATCACAGTGAACTTCTATTTATTTAGTTTATTAAAAATGCTTCATGTTGCCCTGACCCGTGTGGCTCAATTGCTCGGGTATTGTGCCATGCACCAAGGGTTGTGGGCTCAATCCCCAGAAAGGGGTATGCAGGAGGCAGCCAATCAATGTTTCGCTTTCACATGGATGTTTCTCTCTCTCCCCTTCCTCTCAGTAAAAATCAATAAAAATATTATTTAAAAATCAATAAAAAATGTTCTTGTTCAGAATTAACGGTTATCCTCTTAATGGCTGTATGATATTAATCTCATAGATTTGTTACCATTCTGTAAATTCCTCTCCAGTTAGGTTTCCATTCATCCATTCAGCAAATATTCACGAAGCACCTCCAAACGTGCAGGCAGTGTTCTAGGCCCTGGGGTTCAGTGTGAACAGGTCCCCACATCCACCCACATAAGTCCTTTTGGAGCTCACAATCTGTGAGGGCCCTGAAAGCTTCTGCCATTTATGATTAACTACATATGATTTTTTTAAACAACTGCAATAGTAACATGTGCACATGATTAAAAATTCAAATGATACTTTCATTTTATGACTCTTATTAAGTCTTCCTCCCTGGACTCTGAGCTTCTTGTATATTCTCCCTAAACATTTGATACACATGCAGGTAGACAGTCTCCCTTCCTACAGTTATTCCAAGCCAACTCCTCCTCCAGCTGGCAATTTGATGAAAACTAGCAAGATTTTGTACTGAAATTTAAAGATACTAATCCATTAGGGAAAAATAACCAGAAGGAGCCTTATTGGGAAAATGTTATAAAACACTAGACTAGCCCAGCCAGTGTGGCCCAGTGGTTGAGCATCGACCCATACACCAAGAGGTCTGTTCAATCCTCAGCAGGGGTCCTGTAAGAGGCAGCGGTCAATATTAATTTTTCTCTCCAAGGTTTCTATCTCTCCCTTTGAAATCAATAAACAAAAAAACCACTAGGGAGTATATCGTGTTTCTCCTTCTTTCTCTTCACTCAGTTTACTTAGTCACATTCTTTCTGGAGCTCAGGTAACAACC